ATACTGTTTAAACTTAATAGTTAAATAACTTTCATAACATTCAGCTGGGTTCTGCATACCATACTTTCTGAAACATTATAATTCTATGAGGCAAAATCTGGATTCAATGTAGTCTATCATGCAGGTGTTAGCTAATATTATCATTAGCCACCAGCCCTGGGTATGTGGGTTTCAGCCAAAGGTTACTTGGGTAGATAAGGAGAGAGAATGTATTTGATTGGCCTGAATTCTGTTTGACATCAGTCATCGCTATGATGCTTCATTACCTGCTTTATTAATATTTAATTGACATCCTTCTCTTACTTCTCATGTGTATACACATCTTAGTTGGAAGTTTCCTGGAAAACCAAATGTGTGGCCACCTCTGCACTTCTGACAAGTTGTCCGTTCCAGCATGGGCTGTGGGGCAGGAAGACGCAGAGTGCAGAAAAGATAGGGAGGGGAGAGGGAAGGAGGGAGGGGGTGGGGGTCATGGTGAGTAACACACCTCTTGGGAGCGGGACACAATTATAAAAGGGACTTTACCTAACAAGTGCAATCAGTGTAATCTGGTTCTTTGTACCCTCCATGAATCCCCAACAATACAAAGAAAAAAGACAGATTCCCATCCTTTTGCTTGATGCCCTCCCAGCGGGACATCTTGACTTCCCTCACAGTGAATTCCTACAACTTCAGGCAAATTCAATTTCAGAGAGAAGCATGCCCATTTCAATTCACACATGGATTACCTGCCATTTTGAATTAGCATCTGTAGCCTTTCATTATCAAGAGAATTGGCAAGGTGTGTTGGAGGTTAGGGAGATGGGTCTCTATCAGTATCACTGTCAAAAACTCATCCTGAAAAGTTGATTGTAGAGATGAAGAAAAGGGCCACATAAACTGCCACTTTATAGTAATAATTAAGTCCCAACATAAGGCTGGACTCCAAAGGAGGTTGAATTAATTCAGGCTTCTAGCATCTTCATTTAAGGTTCTCATTATAGCAAATTAAACTTTAAAATTTAAAGAACTAAGCAACGATGCTGCAGAGGTTTTACGATGATGGAGAAAATCCTTCACATCATGTAATTTTGTATGGCCAAAATGTGTCTATGGATTTAGGCTAAACAAGTTCCTCTCTGACTTTGTTACCTTCTTAGATTCTCTAACCAAAGGAGCACAAACAGTACTATGTTATTTAAACTAACCAACCACATATAAGATAGAACTCAGTGCCATATTATTTAAAAGTAACCACATGCAAGACAGAACAACATTTTCCAAAGTGTAATTCAGTTAATAGGCCTAAGAAGAAGTAAAGATTCCATGGTAAGTCAGATCAGTTTAGAAAATGCTAAGAAATGTTAAAGGCCGATAGGCATTCCAAATTTCCAAGGAGTTGTTACAGAATGCATGCTTTCCCCGATTAATGAAATGTGTAACACTTGTGCTGGGGACTAGTACCCTGGAACACCTTTGGGGAGCATTGGGATAGCCTCATAAACAGTGGTTCTCAATCTTCCTACTGCTGCAGCCCTTTAATCCAGTTAAAAGGGGTCACGACCCACAGGTTGAGAACCACTGCTCATAAAGAATAGTAGACGTACCCCAATTCACTGTAAACCTTTCACGGTACTGAGCCTCTTATAATAATAGCTACTTATCAATTTCATTACTTCACTCAATGCTTCTAGATACGTATAATAATGAAAACTATTGTTTATAAATACATTCCAAAAATGCTGAATAGCAGGATGAAAAAGCAATCCATAATAATCTTAACACCCAGAGATATCACTGTTGACGTGTTGTGCTCTGTTCAAAACACAAGCACAGAGCTCTCAAAAGATGTCCCCCAACATGGACACACAGACATAGTCACACGGCAAAATTGGGATCACATCGTGTTTTCATCTGTTATTTACTCAACCTTAGACACAATGGCCTGGGCTTCCGACATCTCCCAGGGCTCTCTGCTCAGTACAGCACATACTAGGAGCACTTCCATTGGCCAAGAAATCACTGTGACGCATTTGCCCTGCGCCAAGAGCTCTGGGCGGTCTATAAATAAACGTAAAGCACGATTCCTCTTCTTCGGGAACTGACAGTCTATTTGAGAGCGACAAAGCAGACCATGAGGGAATTACAGAAGAGTTACATGTAAAATGGAGAGATTCTGACCACGTAACAGTAATTCTGCAGTGTGGCCAGTGTGAGCTGGGAAAATAGTACAAAGAAACAGAAAAGGCCAAGCTTTGGCCTGGGCTTTGGGGGTAGAAAGACTGAATAAAAGGAGGACCAAAGTTCAGGGTGAGCAACACAGGGGATCTGCCCCAGGAGCAATGAAGATGATGGGAACATCTGAAATCCCCTGCCACCTGACCTCTCTGCAAGACTCAGTCTTGCTTTAGTCAGACACGGCAGCAGGAGAACTGCCAGGTTGACTGAAGGGACTGGAGTGAATTCAGTTGCCAACTGACCCTACTCTATTAAGGAAGTGCAAGCCCAATGTCCGTAACAGAGGGACAAAATTAGTTGAAGAATAAATGGGGAGGACACAACAAATCTAGTTAGCAGATGCATTTGAAATGCAAAACAC